AAAATATTGCTGCAATGTTCGCCGACTTTACAAATAAAATATTTCCTGTGCTACTTGCATTAACATAAATGAAATGTTTCATTTGAAATATTGCATATAATAATTTCCAACAACCTTAAATTTGAAACATTATTTAAAGATTCACATGGAAAGTTTTTAGAATGTTATATTTGTAACATTTAGTATAAAATGTTGCATACAAGTTTTTAAACATTACAATTATAATATTGCAGACATTTTTTCAATGTTTCAATTGAAATATTAACACAAGTTTCAAATGAAAAATGTTTGCAACTTTACTTTAAATATACAATAGAAACATTTATTTTGAAATGTTTGAGAATATTTTTGAAACATTGCAATTATAATATTACATTGATAAGTTTTGGGCAATGTTTTATCCGAAATATTACATTAAGATGATTTTTGAAATGTTGCTTTATATAAACAATATAAACATTTAATTTGCAAGATTTTTGAAACATTGCAATTATATTATTACATTGATAAGTTTTGGGCAATGTTTTATCCTAAATATTACATTAAGATGATTTTTGAAATGTTGCTTTATATAAACAATATAAACATTTAATTTGCAAGATTTTTGGAACATTGTAACTATAATATTACATTTATAATTATAACTTTAGTTTTGGACTATGTTTCATCCGCAATATTGCATTAAGATAATTTTTGCAATGTTGTTTGCAGACTGACTTGCCGATGCATCTCGCCGCTGTCTTTGTCATTTATATCTTTATAAGTGAACAGTGTCGAGCTTGATGCGTGTCTCCCGTCACCGACTGCCTGACACTGATGAGACCAAACAGGTCGAAACAGTCCGTCTGTCAGTGTTACTAACATTGCAATTAATACATTTAAGCAACATTTTATTTGTAAATGTAATATTCCTGAGCCGGACATAAGGCTTTGTTGCAATGTTCCTGCAACATTGCCACAAGGAGTTTTGTAACATTACATCTAACAAATGTAACTTTCTGTAACATTGTAGAAATATTATTTTTCCCAGTGGGTAGTAGCGCCACCACTCGGCTGTTATCATCGTAACAAAAGTAAAACTTTTAATAATCAGCTGTCAAACGCTTATGTTACAAACCGTGGCTCGAGAGGAAATCCTGGGTTGAGTTATTACCGGTTTTCCAATAAACAGTGTTAATCTGAATGAAGAAATAAATTGCATACAGTCTCTGTAAATATAAATTGTACCTATTACGTCACCTGAGTATTGGTTTGTGCTATCTCCATTTTTTACCATTTTGTTTATGCATTTTTGGAAAGTTGAAGTTGGTTTGTTCCATCTCCATAATAGTATTTTGATATAATTGTGTCACTTTTTAGTTTAGGTTAGTCTAAATCTGAGTTTAGTACAAAAGGTTTAAAATTGGTTTACTCTATCTCCAAAATTTCGCTTACAGGGCCTGTAAGCGAAATTTTGGAGATAGAGTAATACAGGCTTTCTTTTGCTCTATGTGTTTGTAAAAATCTGAAAATTATTAGTATTTGTTTGTGCTATATCCATTTTATAACTGTTTTGTGCTATCTCCAAGGAAAGCTTCCTTATAAGTATAAAATTGTTTTGTTCTATATCCACTTTAGCCAGTACACCTATTTACATGTAAATGGCATTGTATTTTGACAAGAATTATAATTATTATTATTAAAGTAAATCATTATTAAATAAAGTGTTTTTTAATTCAGTTTTGTTTCATGTCCTAAAACTTTTGTTTCTAAAATCCAAAAATAGCACTTTTTGTTTTATCTCCAAAACGTTTTTTCCAATATTGAGGCATAAATCCAAATTTCAGATAAGAGTTGCTTAATAGAACTAATTAAAGGCCAAACAAGAATATTGTTATTAATGTTTAATTAAGTTTTCATTAAAAAACAAATAAGATATTTAATGTAAAAGTTTCAAACCTGTTTATTTCGATTATATCATATTGGACATAGAACAAATCAATACTCAGGTGACGATTAGATATAATAAATACACATTTTACTAGTGATTAACGTGGGTAAACATTTTAATTCAGTAAAAATCGTCAAACAAGTTGTCTAAAAAACAGCATTTAGCATGATTAAGAAAGTCTCCTCTCATCGGTAAAGTACCATTATATTATATATAATGTTATATTGCCATGAATTCGTAGGTATATTTTATTGTTTAAAATGCAGTTGTCGGCGTTTTTTAGAAAACTCAAATATAAATATGGTTGATTTTAAGGTTATGTTTGTGCACAAATTATTTTTTACTAATTTCTTAAAAATGTCCAAACTTAAATATAAATTATATTGGGTAAAGTTATCATTAGTTAATTCTGCACCAAAAAATGTACTTACCGAATTGGATCCTTGGCAAAACATGAAAATGCAAAGATTTAGTTCTTGAATTTTATTTACAATTAAAAACACAATAACTCAACATGTCTCCTTAGATAAAATGCACACACTAACGTAACTATATAAGCATTTAAGCGTTGAGTTTCTTAATCAATGATATAAGGAATAATCAATCGAAATCGAGTAGTAAAAAAGTTTTTTAATTTTTTCCTTGCAACACAAATAACGTGCGCGATTTAGCTGTGCAATTGAACAAAATTTGTCGAGTAAGACTTCTTTAGTAAAAAAACTACCTATTTATTTAAAAATGATGCATAATCTGTGCTTTAAATGTATTGTTGACAATTCTTAAATTCACGCCAGATGGCGTGCTCGTTTCGAAAACCCGATAATTCTTTAGCGTATAGGATTATTTTCCTTAAGAAACCTCTGGATACATAAATATGAGAAATTCGCTACACTGTAGAATTAAAATGGACAAATTTACTTGCGACATAAAAATTATAGTGTCTCGTTGAAGATTATTTTTTTTGAAGCAATATTTTGATTCGAAGGTAACACACGTGTATTGACAGTTGTGCACTTGGGCACGGGATTTCCCTCACCTTGCTGTTGCCGCTGCCTGTCCTTCATTTGCCATCTGCAAGCCCACTACGCACCCGAGCGTTTTACGTAAAACTACACAGGTCTACTCGAAGACGCTTTCCTCCAACACCTGTCGTATTGCAGTTACCTTTACCAACGAAAATAACCTCTTGGGGTTGCTCAAAAATCCCAAGTCGAATTTTTCGTCAAACTCGATCAGCTCCCGCTTGGATCTCACCGCTGAAACGATGATCACCATGTTTTCCTTGCCTTGGAACTGCTCGACTGTGCCCACCGTAACCTTGCCCCAGTTTTTGTTCTTCATTTCTCCCTGCAGCCCTTCTATCTGCTTCCTGTATGGCGTTATTATGCCGATGTGCTCTTGCTTCACTTGAACACCGGAAGCCCTCGTAACTAGAAGCTTTTCCACGTACTCGATAACAACTTTCACTTCCTCTGGATTGTAAAAGCTCGGCGAGTTTGCATCCCTGGTGTCGACTCCAAGCGCGTTGTGGAACAGAATGGGAAAGCCGGGTCTCTTCAGGTGCTCCCAGTCGTTGAAGAGCATGGAAAAGTTGGCCTCGGCCGCTATCAGCTTGCCATGGTAGAAGAGCTCATTGAGAACGTCAAAATCGCCGGGTGCGACCTGTAGTTCATTTCCAAGAACGTCAGGTACTTTTCGTCGTAGACGTTATCTTTGGGTTGGTATACTTCGCAGCTGTCGATGAGGCGTTCCAATAGAGAAACTCCAAAACCGTACTTGAGGGCGGTTTTCGAGTGGACCCTGGGTCCGAGTTGGCGGGGGTCGCCGGCCAACACAAGCTTGCCGTGCACCTCGCCAGAGTGCAGTTTGTTCGTCAAAACGCCCGCCAGAGGGATCAAAGTCTCCGCTTCGGTCAAATACCCGGCTTCATCGATGATGACGTACGTGAAGTGGTCGCTTTCAACGTCGCCGCTGTAAAACCTACCGGCGTTGGCGTTGGTGGTCAGGACAATTTTATACCTTTGTAGTTGTTCTATTGTCGGTATGTAGCAACAACCATCGCGTTTTTTGTTGATTATGTCGGCGATTTTCGAGTCTCTCAAGCTCCTGGAGTAGGATAGAGCAACGAATCGTAGCATCTCGGACTTGGGGATGTTGTCGATCAATCTCGACGCGATTTCGTCCACCGATGAATTCGAGGGGCCGCACACCAAAATCCGCGCTTGCTCGTCGCTCTTGTGGATTTGCCTGATCAGCTCGATCACGGTCGATGTCTTTCCGGTTCCTGGCGGCCCGAAAATCAAGTAGGGCTGCGAGTTGGCAGGACAGTTGATGACGTTGCGAACGGCTGCTCGCTGCTTATCGTTCAGGTTCCTGTCGAAGTAGTTCGGTTCGAAGTCAAAGTACTGAAAAGTGTTGAATGTTGGTAACAAGTAGTCTACGAACTTATGGTCCTTTGCGAGCTGACAGGCCGTATGCTGAACTTTGAAGTTGTACCTATTGAAACCGAACTCGACGTAGAATTTTTGATTTTTCATGGCAAATGGTTTAATTTTACCATCGAACCCTAGTTTGACCGATGCTTGGTCGATCTTATGAACGATACCTTCAAATTTAATTTTGCTGAATTCGGTTTCTCTTACCAACACTGAGTCGCCTCTTATCAAAGATGGCCCTTGACTCCGCCAAACCTGGTACTTGTAATCTATAGAAACTACCATGGAGAAGCTCCAAATGTGATTTGGTGTTATACACCTTTACATCAATTTTTATTTGGCGTTCCTCATGTCGTAGTTTGCATTAAACAAATTGCAAAGGGCAAAAATTCTACAAAAATATTTAAAATATGTTATTAATCCCGGAGCATTCGCCATTTTTGCAAATTATACCCATAAAAGTGAAAGAATCTCCAAAAAAAGAAGATCCAAGTGATTTACCTAATAAACAATAATATAGTGAGTGATTCCCTAACCTATTTAAAAAAATACAATGCAACTGATTATAATTATTGATTTCCGCGAAGCGTTATCGTTATCGTTATCGACTTTTTGATATATAAATATGATTTTTTAGATTGTTTTTTATTTGCTTAAACACCTTATTACGGTGATATTCATCAAAAATGAATCGGTAAGTGGAAACTAGTTATCTATTTAATAAATACTAAAGGTTTTCGTTTTTTTTTTGTAGACGAAGGCCAGTCAATAATAGTGATTTCAAGAAACATTTGGATTATGTTAAATTTTTGATGCAAAATGCTCAAATTATTAACTGCTTTATCGACCGGGATGAAGCCGAGGAGCACTATAAAACATTTATAGGGGTGGAAACTGTCGATAGAAATCAATTTAATGACTTTCTAAAACGGTTGTTGTACAGTAAAATAATACTCAACAATAAAAACAAAAAGAAAATAAAACTCTCCCACACACTTATGCTTAATATTAGCTTTGAAAGGGTTACTGATGAACGTAAAATCGAAGCTAGATATACGTCCAATGTTAGCTGCAAATTGTGCAAAAAAACGTACACCAACAACAATTTTTTGCAGCACAAATCCACTGTACATCATAAAGCCAGAGTTGCCTACCTTTCTACTGACACCGCTGAAAATACCATGTTAAAATTGTGCGATGGTGATTATAACCTGCTGAGAAAAGTTACTTTTGCTGGCAACAACTTAAATGTGAACTGCCATCTAGTAAATACGTCTGGAAATAGCTGCAAAATTCTCCACATATTTTCGTTGAACGTATATCAAAATATAAACGTTCAAGTTGGGTTGCCTGTAGTGTTAGGGAGCAACGAGTACGTGAAATTGAAGGTGATCGCGAATTTTCGGGGGCGCATCAACATCAACCCCGTCATAGCTGTTGTTTTCGAGGAAAATGGGGTCGTTCAGTATGACTTCAAAAAAATTAATGTTTCGGATCATACGGAGGTCATAATACCGGGCATACCTCTACCGGAAAACAGCAATTTTGTTGCTGTGAATAAACTGTTGGCGTATAGAGTGCCTGGAAACTTTCTTACAATCTTGAACAAGTTTGTGATGGCTTCACCCACACCTAGGCTAGGGCTTACACAGGAAATATACATAAATGCGGCAAACTACGACAAATTGTCTCACTACTTGCTTTACGCTGAGGAAGACCAAATGAAAATTGATATGAAGGTGTATAACACCAAATCACATTTGGAGCTTCTCCATGGTAGTTTCTACAGATTACAAGTACCAGGTTTGGCGGAGTCAAGGCCGTCTTTGATAAGAGGCGACTCAGTGTTGGTGAGAGAAACCGAATTCAGCAAAATTAAATTTGAAGGTATCGTTCATAGGGTCGAGCAAGCATCGGTCCAACTAGGCTTCGATGGTAAAATTAAACCATTTGCCATGAGAAATCAAAAATTCTACGTCGAGTTCGGTTTCAATAGGTACAACTTCAAAGTCCAGCATACGGCCTGTCAGCTCGCAAAGGACCATAATTTCGTAGACTACTTGTTCCCAACATTCAACACTTTCCAGTACTCCGACTTCGAACCGAACTACTTCGACAGGAACCTGAACGATAAGCAGCGAGCAGCCGTTCGCAACGTCATCAACTGTCCTGTCAACTCGCAGCCCTACTTGATTTTCGGGCCGCCAGGAACTGGAAAGACATCGACCGTGATCGAGCTGATCAGGCAAATCCACAAGAGCGACGAGCAAGCGCGGATTTTGGTGTGCGGCCCCTCGAATTCGTCGGTGGACGAAATCGCATCGAGATTGATCGACAACATCCCCAAGTCCGAGATGCTACGATTCGTTGCTCTATCCTACTCCAGGAGCTTGAAAGACTCGAAAATCGCCGACATAATCAACAAGAATCACGATGGTTGCTACATACCGACAATAGAACAACTACAAAAGTATAAAATTGTCCTGACCACCAACGCCAACGCCGGTAGGTTTTACAGCGGCGACGTTAAAAGTGACCACTTCACGTACGTCATTATCGATGAAGCCGGGTATTTGACCGAAGCGGAAACTTTGATCCCTCTGGCGGGCGTTTTGACGAACAAACTGCACTCTGGCGCGGTGCATGGCAAGCTTGTGTTGGCCGGCGACCCCCGCCAACTCGGACCCAGGGTCCACTCAAAAACCGCCCTCAAGTACGGTTTTGGAGTTTCTCTATTGGAACGCCTCATCGACAGCTGCGAAGTATACCGACCCAAGGATAACGTCTACGACGAAAAGTACGTGACGTTCTTGGAAATGAACTACAGGTCGCACCCGGCGATTTTGCACGTTCCCAATGAGCTCTTCTACCATGGCAAGCTGATAGCAGCCGAGGTTAACTTTTCCATGCTCTTCAACGACTGGGAGCACCTGAAGAGACCCGGCTTTCCCATTCTGTTCCACAACGTGCATGGGGTCGACACCAGGGATGCAAACTCGCCGAGCTTTTACAATCCAGAGGAAGTGAAAGTTGTTATCGAGTACGTGGAAAAGCTTCTAGCCACGAGGGTTTCTGGTGTTCAAGTGAAGCAAGAGCACATCGGCATAATAACGCCATACAGGAAGCAGATAGAAGTGCTGCAGGGAGAAATGAAGAACAAAAACTGGAGCAAGGTTACGGTGGGCTCGGTCGAGCAGTTCCAAGGCAAGGAAAACATGGTGATCATCGTTTCAGCGGTGAGATCCAAGCGGGAGCTGATCGAGTTTGACGAAAAATTCGACTTGGGATTTTTGAGCAACCCCAAGAGGTTCAACGTTGCCGTCACCAGAGCCAAGAGTTTGGTGATTTTGGTTGGCAATGGTGATATTCTGCAATACGACAGGTGTTGGAGGAAGTACATTGAATATTGTATCGAGAACAATTCCAAAATTGGGCCGGATGTTCTTTTTACCGAAGATACTGGGGAGGAATAGTTATATAGTTTAACCATGTTTTATTATTTTAAATAAATAAATTATTTATGTTCATTTTGTTTATATTAGATATCCTTGGAGAGGGAATGAAGGGGGTACTTAAAAATTTAAACCAATTTTTATAAAAACGTTTATTTTTTGTTCACACAGTATTTTGAATATTTATTTACATACAAAAATTAGGCAATTTCATTAATATTTTTTTCTTAAAACTTATATAAAACTATATTTAAAAAAAAATTATTTCTCGAATAAAATTATAATCTATACTTTACCTATTAAATAATATGATAATTATTAAAGTTCTGATAAACTAAATTACCTAAATAGATAAAAATAGATAAACAGACTTTACAATACTGATTAAATACATTTATTTGGTCATTTTGCCCAAAAAATAGACTTGCGTAAATATATATATATTATACAGTTACAATTTTATATACAAAAAATATCATTTTAATAGATAAATAACTAAGGAGTGTAAAGGTGGAAAGATATGTTTATATACAAGTTTTGTATATACAGGGTGTAACCAAATAAATTGTCACGCCTATATAAGGGTCAGTTGTCGTAGGTCAAAAATTTCTACTTTTCTTATACAAATAATAATGATTTTTGTTTTGTTTTTTCAAAGTAAAAAAAAATGATAAATGGCACAAATATTTCCTTAATTATTTTTACATAAATCAGACACTTTTGACAATTAATAGTAAATATTAAAGCCTGTGTGTTTTCCCCCCTATAAAATATTTTAAAATTAAACGCCTATGTACAATGTTCTGTATACACAGTGCTTCAACCAAAAACCTACACATTAAGCCCACTGTGGATATGAACAAACTTAGCGCGGCCTATACAAATTGCTGCTTAACTTTTAAACAAGCCCTAATTGAAAATCTCATTCCCCTGTTTTTCGTTGTTTACCATGTTTTTTTGGCAAGCGAATTTTTAGTCGATTAATATCAATTTGAGGAGACCGTCGAAAAAATATTCAGCGTAGTTGTGGAATGAAAAGTCATTAATTACACAAACTGAAAAAATACAAATTTGTCCTAATTTACTCGGGTTCATTATATGATTTTTATTCATCATATACACAATTATTTATTAACTAGCTATGTATTTAAGGTTCAAAAGGGCTTTAAAATGCTCAATAAACCGATATTGGTTTTAAAGTTACCTTAAGATAAACTAAAAGGTAATATTTAAATTAAAATAAAAAACTTTTTGCTCTTAATGCCTATTGATCTTATACTGGTTTTATATTGGCTATTTTAAAACTAATTTGCTTTTATAAAGTTGCCTTGAAGAACTTTTTAAGAAAATTAAACCTAAATGGTTTAAATATAGTTTTTTTGCTAGAAACTGCTTTATGAAGATCATTTGGTTGTATTCAAAGTTTTATTGTATAGTTGGAGACCGCAATAAGAGCTTTAGTGTTATATGGGAAATTACTTATAGTTTTCTTTATTCAAAACAGTAGGGACTATGTTGTTAATTGGAATGGTTGCTTGTTGGATTTTCAATTTTACACATAGTTAATGTTGAACAATAAATTTGTTATAATACGTACATCACAGAAATTTTCGAAACATATACTTGGCGGCAATGAAAGGAGAAGTTTACATGTTAAAATGGTTTGGCGGTACCAGGTACATAATTTTGTTAAACTATTATACAGTGAAATTTATAAATAAATATATAAATAAATAAATAAATGGTAACTAGATAAATTAGGTAATATTTTTTTAAAAAATGTTTGGCCAATATTCGACATTTATTAAAAAGTCTAGGTATTAAAAGCTCAAGATTATCACTTTTGGGTTTTCTAACTAGGTACTTGTTACTTACTTACCTACCTAAATTAATAGGTCCCTGAAATAACAAAATAATAGTTTTAATATAAAATTTAAGTTAAAAATATGTACGAGGTGTGTTCAGAAAATAACAAGAATTGTTAAATTTCGCGGCTTCGGAGGGTCCGGTTGTCATACAATTTTATTTATTATGTTGGTATACATGCCCCCGAAGTATAATAAAAACTTAAGCTGTTTTCATTGTTTACTTTGTCTGTGGCAGCCGCTAAGGTTAGACGTGTTTTATGAGCTCGGCGATTTTCGTTCGTTAAAAGAAATGGATCAAAGAGAATTTGTATCCAATTTTGCTTAAAAAATGAAATAAATTCTGTGAAATGTTAACAAAGGCCTATAGTGAGTCTGCTATAAGTAAAACAAGAGTTTACAAGTGGTATAAGAGTTTCCAAGATGGCCGTGATGACGTTGAAGATGACGAACGCCCACATTAACAACCGATAAAAAAATGGAAAAAGTGGAAGAAATGGTTATAAACCATCAGAGAAGTCGCTGATGATGTTGGTATATCGATTGGCTCATCCCATGAAATTTTTTTGAATGTTTTGGGTATGAAACGCGTGGCAGCAAAATTTGTTCCCAAATTTTTAAATTTTGAACAACATTTTTGGACAAAAACAATAATGTAATGGTGCCCCAGCCAGGCTGGGCCAGCCTCCATATTCGACAGACATGCCTCTGTCTGACTTTTTCCTATTCCCAAAAATAAAGAGAACCTTAAAGGGCCGTCGTTTTGCAAGCATAGATTACATTAAAAGCGCATCGCTGAATGAACTAAAGGCTATCCCAAAGATCGAGTTTTAAAAGTGTTTCGAGTATTGGAAAAAGAGCTGACACATGTGCATAATATCAAATGGGGACTATTTTGAAGGCGACAACATTAATGTAGACGAATAAATATATATTTGTTTTAAAAAACGAAAATTCCCGATATTTTCTGAACACACCTCGTATATAAATTTTAAATAAATAATATTCCCCAAGTGTCAAATAACTATGTGGTTTACCATACTTTAATATTATATTACAAAATTACTTTTTGTGAATTTAAATTTCCAAATCAGCAAAAGTGTATTAAAAGAAGATCCTAAACAGGTTTTCAGTTTATGTATAATAATTACTTTAACCACCGGGTTTTGTTAATTAATTAACTTAAGGGGGAACAAACAAAACCCGAAACCCTTAAAACGTTTTGCCTAATTGTTCGGGTGCTATGTTTGCCACATTTGGCTTTAACTATTTCGTGTTCATTATAAAATGGCCAGCTATTTAGGGATGCCAGAAATAAATAAAAAATATTTCGAGCAAAACAAAATCTTACTCACCTAATAGTACTGTTTTTTAATTCAGCTGCAATACCGCGCTCTTTCGATGTCCATGTCGCCTCGTAGGATCATCGAGTTCTTGTGAGATTTTTCGTTGATGTCACTCAAAGTTTGGTTTCTTTCTTGGGTGCTTTTTCGCGCAAAAGTGCCGTGCCTGTGCAAGCTTTGCGAATCAATCATTGTATTCTGGAAAAATACGATTTGCCTAATTCATATAACTTGAAAAAAAAAAAAAAAAAAAAAAATAAAAAAGAAAAAAAAAAATTATACGAAGTTGTGCGTGTCGGTTGTGTTCTAAGTGCTCCGATTTACGCTTCTTATATTACGAGTTTTATTATCTTTTAAAACTAAGAACTTAATAAAAATGTTTGTAAGAAACTGGCTTACGAGATTATGTGTGAAGATTGTTAGGAATGACACTAGTAAGTGATATTTGAAGAATTAAATTTATTATATTTAGTGTATTAACTAAATTGGACAATACAAAAAGTGTAAATAAAAACAATTTATAAAAACTACCTAAAAAGTCAAAAATAAAAGAGATCTCTCGCAGTGGGATTCGAACTCATGCGATCGCGGTGCGCCGCGGAGTGCTGTACGGGTGTGCCGGTCGATTGCTGACTCGACCGCGGGCGACTTTGCTTTTAATTGTTTATTGCAGTTTAAATCATGTCTAATGAAGAATCTAATAATAAACCTTGCAAAAGGTGTCAAAAAGTACCTAGTGCCTTTGTAAAATGTACTGCATGCGAATCAATAATGCATCCCAGTTGTGCAAAAATATTTAAAGGTGTTAAAATCTTAAATGATAAGGAAATCATATGTTGTGAGGGGGTTGTAAATCCACAACAAAACATTCAATTGGAAAATATTCCCAATACTGTTACAGTAGGCGGTGAAACGTCACATACCGTCACTGATGATCCATTAATTATAGAAATTTACTACCTAAAGGAATTGCTCAAACAAAAAGATTTAGTAATTGATAATCAAAACATCACCATTAAATCTTTAAGCGATCAAATTAATTTAATAAATTCTGTAAATATTAAAAATAAAAATTCCACAACTGAAAAAAAAACTATTATCAAAAACAACTTGGACAATAATACCAAAAATAACATGGACAATAAAAAAACCAAAGTCAAAGAAATTTCTGCTAAAGATGTATCTCCACCACTATTAGAAGCTACAACAAAAAGTATATTAAATAAATATATTAATATAAATAACCCCACTAGTTCTGATTCCAATGGTTCTAAACCTAGTGAATCCAAACCTAGTACTTCGAAACCTAATAATTCCGAATGGGCAGATGTCGTTAAAAAAACAAACAAAAGAACAAATAAGGTTTACACAAGAGCTTAAAAATCTTATTATACAAAAAAAAAATTGCTCATAAAACGTATAAGCAACTCCCTAGTCAGAATAATTTTAACATGTTTAGCCGCCTAAGAAATCAGTGTAAAAATCTTACGGAAAGTTGTTTTAAAAATTACATCGGTTCATTAGAAAACAACATTAATTCTAACCCAAAATTTTTTTGGACTTATATTAATAATAGAAAAATGAGTAACTCCATGCCCAGTAAAATGGTGTATAATAATACAGAGTCTGATAATCCTAAAGAAATTGTTGAATTTTTTGCTGATCTTTTTAGCTCTGTCTATGTAAATAAATGCGCTATAAATGTACCTGATTTTAATTACTCTAACTCGATAAATTTAAGTAGCTGTGATATTAATGAATGTGATGTTTTTAATGAATTGTGGCGTTTAAATGTAAATAAAGGTGCGGGACCAGATGGCGTTCCCCCATTACTTTTAAAAAATTGTAGATTTTCATTGACTAAACCCCTAACTGAGATATACAATTTATCAATTAATAATGGCGAGTTCCCAGAGTTGTGGAAAGAAAGTTATATTGTCCCTTTGTTAAAAAATGGAGAAAGAAGCAATGTAAAGAATTATCGCCCTATTTCAAAAATTTCTCAAATATCCAAAGTTATGGAAAAAATTATAACAAATAAAATAACACCTTTGTTTAAAAATATTTTAATAAACGAGCAACATGGGTTTAATAAAGGCAAATCTACGTCCACAAATCTACTTGTTTATGAACAAGATTTGTTAAATGTCTTGGAGAAACGAAGCCAGGTGGATTCTATCTATACTGACTTCTCCAAGGCATTTGACACAGTAAACCATCACATTTTGCTTGCAAAAATGAAGGCTTTGGGCGTATCGGGAAACTTTTACTGTTGGCTAGAGAGTTACATAACCTCAAGAAAACAAACAATTATTTTACAAAATCAATATAAGTCTGAGAAAATTCAGGTTACTTCAGGTGTACCACAAGGAGGGCATATTTCCCCTCTCTTATTTAACTTGTTCATAAATGATATAGGCAATGGTGTTAATTTTGTAAATATCTTTTATTTGCCGACGATCTTAAATTATACAAAGAAGTAAATTCCTTAAGAGACTGCTTAGATATTCAATCGGATTTAAATCAAATTCAAATGTGGTGTGATACAAATGAAATGAAATTAAATGTAGATAAATGTAAATATATTAGTTTTTATAGAAACATGAATCCTGTGATATATCCGTACTCATTAAATAATATAATTTTAGAAAACGTTCATGTCATAAAAGACTTAGGTGTTTACTTTGATAAAAAAGTGACATTTGGCTACCATGTTGATTTTATTGTGAATAAGGCTTTTAAAATGCTGGGATTTGTTAAAAGAAGTATGAAAGATTTTAATGTTCAATGTGTTAAAACTGTTTATATGTCCTACGTACGTAGCATTTTAGAATATTGTTGTGTAATTTGGTCTCCTTTCTATGTTAATTCTTCCATAAAAATTGAAAAAGTCCAGAACAAATTTTTGCGATTTTGTGGATTTAAATTAAGTATTGAGTGTAAATATAGTTTAGACTTAGTAAGAAATGCAATTCAACTGAATTTACTAAGTCGTAGGAGAACAGAAATAGGTGTTGTTTTTTTATTTAAATTGCTCAATAACTATATAAACTGCCCCGACTTGTTAGGGCAAATTAATTTTAATACCCCGATAAGACGAACGCGTAACACATTATTATTTCACATAAAAAAGTACAAAACTGAATATGCTAAATTCATGCCTATAAGCAGAATATGCTTTGATGCAAACAATCTTGATTTGGACTTTTTTAATTGCTCATTGGACGTATTCAAGAAACAATGTAATTATAAAATTAATTGTTATCCATTCTAATTGTAGACATTTGAATGTATTTTTTTGTAAGTGGTTTAATACCGTCAATAAAGTTAAAGTTATTATTATTATTAAAACTTGAAACTTTGAAATATCTCAGTTAGTAAAATCCCAGCTGATTCTTTATTAAAGTTTTGCATATTTCTTAGTATTTTAAAATTGTTTATGCCATTTCGATAAAATACTCTAGTACCACTTTTTAAAAATTTGGCAGATACATGACTGAAATATGGATAAATTACATTATAAATACAAAATAATGTAAAATACAGTTTGCAATATCTTATTTATTGTTGTAATTAAACCTTAAGGTAACGAATGCAAAAAAATAAATAACTAAAGATTCTTTAAAGCAAAATCGATTACTGCTTGCCTTAAATTTTCAGTAAAACTTTTTTTTGGGTTTTACGTGGAATTGTTTTTAACATGGAAACATTATTTTTAAATTCTTCAGTCTCTGTACAAACATGACTCAATAAATTAATACTGGGGAGTAAAGTAATTTAAATGATACAAAGTTTATAATTTTGCTGAATTTTATTAAAATTGTACAGGTAAATTTAGTACAATAATTGCAAAATAATATATAGAAATAGAAAAACAAAAAAGTTTGCAAAACTTTAAAGTAGGATCAGCTGGGATTTTGATAAATACATGTTAGTGTTACCAAAAGGGTCTATAATCAAAATATGCTATCAGATTTGGTTGGCATTTTTGTTCGTCCTATACTTAAGTTTTGACCACAGTATACTGTATACAGAAGAAAAATCGAACAAAATTGATTTTTTTTCATTGCTGCGACATCTATAACAAATACGAAAAAATGTTTTAGACAAAATCTACCTATTTTTAGTCGAATGATCCGAATCTGCAATAAAAAGTAGGGCGTTCCATTGGAAATTTTAAAGTTACCCCCTGTTCCCCCTATAAGGAGGAGAGTATGAGGACCAACTTTAGTACTGATTGATTTCCCCCTCGAATCATTTAATTTTTATTTTAAACATTTTTTCGTAAAATGCACCGTAAAAGGTAATAAATTAAATAAAAATTGTTGTAAGGATTGTGGAATGAAAACAAAATCTTTAATTTCCTGTTATTTCAATGGGAAAACTTTAATAAAAGTAAGATTAAGGGTTGAAACATTTAGGAAATTTTTTTTCTCAATATGTACATCAATATTTTTTTTGGTGACAAATATAATATTTGCATTACAAATAAATAAAATTACGTTTATTATATTATTAAAATTTTAATAAACATTTATGTAGTTTATCCTAATACATATTTATCGCTAATTTATTTTAAATTTAATTAATACGGGAGGATTACCAATTTAAATATTAATTTATTTATGGGCCATTCTATATAATCGCGATGCTACAAAACATTTTGGTTGGATTTCACAAAAAGCGATGCACAGACTTTAAAAAAAATCGACAAATGTAAATTCACCTTTACCTTTACCTGCGTATGCCTTCTGTACGTCGAATTGAAGCTCGTCTCGCAGTTCTGGTTGTGGCACAGGGTGCTGTTACGCGGCCATCTTTTTTGTTGACAGCACAAGTACCGGTTGAAGTGGGATCTGAACACCCCGCTCACGCAGTACAGGGCCACTGGATTCACGCAAGAATTCAAGAAACTGAAAAAAGTCCCATTTTATTTTTTATTGGGATACATTGTATATCAAAAGGACACGTCATAAATCAGCTGATCGGACACGGTTGCCAATGTGATGCTAAAATCATTGCATCAAGTGAAAGTGGTAGTGCAACAACAGGGCGATAGATGGCGCTTACATGAATAATACCATAGGGTCCCTAGATTTGGGACCTTAGAATACCAAAATGTCGAAAGTCAGGGTTTTATACCTTCGGTCATCTATGGTTTTATAACCTTAATGATGCACCGCCAAAAGTATGTTTTAGCCATTTTTAAAGGCATTTTCAGCTATAAAACCCAGAAATTTTGCCATTTAAAGTCAGTCTCTGGTATATATATTATTATTTTATGTATCCAACATATATTTTGTTAAATATTCTAATATATAATTAATAATAATCCTATTTACCTTAAAAGTCAATTTCTTTTTCTATGCGTCATTTTATTAAGCAAAATTTTAATCTAAACATGACAACATTGCAATTGCTGCCAACTTAATTTGGTTAAAATGCATTAAAATATTCAATCTCAGACTTTGTTTTATACATTTAGTATTGGTACCAGTCAGTGGCGGCCCGTGACATTTCATTTTGGTGAGGCAGAGGCAGGGTTTCGCCCTCATTTAAACCCAACTTAAAAAAACTGACGTCGCAGTTCACAACCTATACTTAAAACTAAGTAAAAAACTTGGACTGTGGTGGGGAAGGAATCCTCTACTTTGTCAATGAAATATATTTTACTGTAAAAATTACGTTTATTTTAAATAAACCTCATTTTTGTCTAATTAATATTTCATTGTTCAGCAAGAACCACGTGAAGGTCAACAATATCGGTACAATTTCTCACCGTAATATCCATAATGACTAGTTCAATTAACTAAACCCACAGAATAAACCACTTACAAAAGAATCATAAAATAGACAAACTCATAAAAAAAGAATAAACAAAATATTGCGTAAATAACCACAGATTTGTTCTTTAAACAGTTCAGAATTTTATAACCAAAACAACCCTAAAGAAGGAATCTGTATTTATTTTATCGGTTACGTTGATGGCTACAAGATGGCGATAGTGTTAAAATATGTTTATTTTAGAATAGAAATATAATTTCGATTAAATCGATTTATTATAAGAAAAATAATACCATTTATTATTGAATTTTGAAAAACGTGTGAAGTATAATTTATCTAAAATTCCGCAACAGTGTTTCCACAACACCTGCTTATTTTTTCCTTGGAAGTAGGCGTGCCTGCCTCGCGTATGCTAATACGAGAGAAGGAGACAACTATGATATCGCATTGTAATAGAACGAGACAACAAGGCTAACGCCAATCGTGAGTCTAAATTAGTTCAGGCCAGGCCCGGCTCCAGACATTTTGGTACCCCGTGCAAAAATATTTTTCCGCCCCTCATAGTTACCTACTTGTTAGTGCCCATTAATTAGGTTTAATTTCTAAAAAAAACTACCTAAATAATATCGCCCCTTGATGCTCAATTGGATATCTGGAAAAACACATTTATAAATAAAATATTCTAAAATTGGTATGTAATAGTAGAACTGGATTCGTAAAATTTCGAGTTATCCAGTTGTTGCATTAGGGGTAAGATAAAATTAACAAAAAAGTTAAAAAAAATATTATTTAATAACAAATAAATAAAATATCATCGCATTCTAAAAAACAGTAATATATTGTAATAAAAATTATTTTATCCAACATTATTAAACTGACTAGTAGTAAAAATAAGAAAAATCTGTTTACAAACAAAAGTTTAAGAAAAGGAATGCCTTCTGGCTTTTTGTTCAGCAAACTTGAAATTAAATTGAAAATATCTAATTTAGATCCTATATCGTGCTGTATACATGTATTGAATAACTTTTTGCCGCCCTTCGATTTTTGCCGCCCCGTGCAGGGGCACGGCTGCACGTACCCTGGAGCCGGGCCTGGTTCAGGCATGCTTCTGAGCCAATCATCTAGCTATAAATATTAGTTTAAATTGCGGTCGTTTCAAATTCAAATAATTTAAATGTTGCTTGGTATTCCACGTATAAAATCAATCAATTTTATTGACTATTTCACAATTCATGTAATTCAAATATTAAAAATTTGTAGTATATTATAGAAAGTAAAATATTTTAATTATACTTAATTTTTTAATTCTCTATGATGAGGCACTGCCTCACCTGCCTCCCCTGACGGGCCGCCACTGGTACCAGTGCCCAAAATAATGACGTCATCGATGACGTGTACGACGTTTCCTTTTAAATATACGTATCCAATGCTTTCAGACACCCTGTATAAGCCTTAATATTGACAAATATTCGCCCGATCAACCACAGGTTCGTTAACAGTTATTCATTCGTGTCTTGAATGGTGTGGTGTGGTTTATCGGTTGTTTGCTTAGAAGAGCTGGAATTGCTAACAAAATACTTCGCAATCGTCGTCGATACGTCCAAATCACAAAAACAATTTCGTGTTTGATTAATCAGTCGAAGAATGCCGGAGTAATGTTTAGCCAAGCGGGCTATGATTACTAACGATTAATATATACCCGTTCTATTACATCTACGCAAGTTTTAAATAATTTAACCTGAATCAAAACGAAAAGAAAGAAATCATACATTTTGAATATTACAGCTTCACGGAAGATAGCTTCACGGAGGTTAGGATTTCGTATGTTTTTTTAAACATAAAATAAGTTATTGTATCTTTTGACACCTTAATATTTTTTAAAAATACAATTGTACTATGCTCGACACCTCAAAGTCCCACCACGTGACCACGTACGGAACGCAGTCTTTTGAAAATTTGGCATTTAAGGCTTTTCAGGTTATGTATCTGTCAAAGTATAGTCAATGAAAGAAATAATATTTATAGTGTTACCGCTTATGTTTAAGCGTTAAAAGTTAATAAATCTTTATAGTATCACAATAACAATGGTTGGTTTAAGAATTTAGGAATATAAATACTGCATTTAATGAAATTCCAAAGTGTAAGGTGCAATATAAGTGATATTTTTGTGAATTGGGTCTACATTTCTCCATAAAATAGTTTTAACTAAACAGCATTTATTAAAAAAATCTAACGTCTCTATTATGAAATAAGAATATCTGTATCAAAGGTAGGTTAATGTATTAGAACAAAAAATATCTAATTTTGTATTTTAAGGTTAGAAAAATCTATTTTGACCAAAATAAATAAGTGGATTATTTGGAAGAGTGTGTTAATATGGTCATAAATAAATATAGGTATACTACACAGGCTATAAATTTTTTTTTGACATTTTTCCATTTTCACATAAACCAACTTGACCTTTTATTTCAAAAAAACTTGTGTAGTTTTAATAGAATGTGTGGGATTTTATTACACAGTGCCTCATAGAAGAACCATGTACTTCTGTCTAATTAATTCGGGTTTATAAATTTCGCCTCGAACATTCAAAGGAAGTGGATGCTTTTATATGAAGAGCTTTAATCATATCTTTTGTAAAATTTACTTTCATCAACACTATATTAAAATTAAATTATAAATACCTACAACTTTTTTGTGAAAAATCTAGTAGTTAATTTTCCTGTCTTTAAAAATAGCATCCATTTGGTTTGAAAAAGATAAACAATGATCACGAAACTTTTTCTTCTTTCAATTTCCAAGTTACTGATGATTAATAGTCCTGGACAATATATACATTATAAATATTATTAAGCCACTACAAGTATAAACGTCCAGTGGCTTTAACAAAATACCCATTCACCATTGGAGTCCAATGATTGGACAACATTCACGTGTGTTCACATACAATTTTAATTTCTTTTATATAAATTAATTTCAAAGCGAAGATTATTATCCGCTATCAATACTTTTTCTCTCCTGGCCGTAGTCACCTATATTTAACTACTTTTTTATATGATTTTACTAATTTAGTTTGTTTTAATCAATGCGACCAACTTGACAACTGTATTTACCAACCCCTAAATTTGGAACGTTGCCGTAGTCCAGATAAAAAGGAAGTGACGTCAGGTTTTAAAGGGTCGCATATAAATTTTGATTCAATACTTTTCGGTATTGAAACGATTTTCCAATGATTTTATTTTCAAGCATTCGTTGCCAAGATAACAATATGTATGAAATCACGTATACCTGGGTGTATTATATTTTAAATTATACAGCACTTCCGCGCTCTTTAATAAATTTACATCCGCCTTTATGTCGACATAATCGTTTCATCATTTTATCTTTCGCGAAAGTACGTAGATGAGTTCTTTAAGATTAAATTTGGCGGTTTAATGCATTTTTCAGTTTTCTTTTGACAAATTCTTTCGGTAGCTATGCCTTTATAAACGCATCTACATCATGTTATCACTTGTTAACACATTTCGTTCTTGTTGAAGAATAAAAATTTAAAAAAAATTTATATAAATATTATCTACGTATTATATATATACATATATATATTATATATAACTAATAGTAATTGTTAAATAAAATTACGTGCAAAATAATCGATCCACACAAATTTTCGATGAATTTCAATCGCAAATAACTTTTTTATTTGATGTCGGATTTAAACGAATATTAAAGAATATTGTAGATAAATTAATGGAAAATCGCTCACATTTTAAAAATACTAAAAAATAGACGTACGTTTATAATAAACAGGTTTAAACAAAAAGATGTTTTTTACCATAAGTTTAAGACACTCTGTAGAGTAGCAAAACCGCATATTGTTCTAAATTAAGTTTTATTTATCAAGTCACATCTATTCTTAACAGTTTTGTTTTTGGTTCACTTCGATATATTTATTTTTGTGGAAAATATGGATTTTTGCAATTTGCAATATTTTTCCTGTATGAAGAACTAAGGTTGCTATGGTCCATCCATAGCCTATGGAGAATGACAGTGACAGTTTTGTTGAATCATCCCATACTTGGACATGTCATACACGGCTTTCAAAAGCTATCAAATTGTTTTTTGCAAATTAATGTTTAAATTTTGAGGTGTCTTCTTACTTTAAAAAATGGATATGTCTCCGACTGATGTTGCCAGAGCTATTAATTTAATCCAGGATGGACGGTCACAGTATTACGTGGCAAGTGTTTTAAACGTCATAAGAAGTAAAGTACAAAAAGAAAATTTGTGTGGATGTAATTGTTAAATATAATTAAGAAGAAATTTTCTTTGTAGATTTGCAGTTTCAAAATGAAACCATAGGTCGCCAAACGTATTACAATTATTTTTTGGAATAGCTGACGAAAACATCTTATATATCTTTTTATAAATGATAAATAACTGTGACGATATTCTTTCATCTAAGTACGATATTCTGGAAGAAAAAGGTTATAATAAAAATTGTAAAAGACTCTTACCTTAGACAAAATCCAATTATCCTGATAGCGTGCCACCAATCGTTGTACTCCTGCAGAGCCTCAGGATTCAGGTGAAACCACAACATAAAAACGTGGTGTGGGAGGAAACAAATGAAAAACACTGCAAAGAAACAAATCAAACATATCAGTCCTTGCCATATAAAAAGTAGAAATATTGTATCTTACAAAGTAATTGCTTTTGTGTAATTAAAAAAAAGTAATGAACTTCCAATTTAACTTAAAGCTATGCTTTTAAACGCATAGACACGACACGACACGAGACGGAACAATACAGGGTGGCTCAAAAGTTTTGAAAAATCGAAAATAATAAAAAATGATTTTAGTAAAAATCGAGTTTTTTTAATCACCCTACTATTTATACTTACAAAAAACGAATATCAGGACCATCCTGGCAACGTGTCGTCTGGCCCTAGCCTGGGCGACACTTTGTGTTCCCCGGATTTCTCCGGGCATTTCGTTGGCGCTATGGTGTAGCCGTATGGCCATGAGAACGTAGAAACACGCGATCACCACCAGAGGAATGATGTAGTAGACCAGAGATTTGGCAACTATGCTGTATTTGGCGTAGGTTTCTTTGTTGGTGATGTTCGGGAACGGTGAACAAAACACCAATGTTTTATTGCTGCAAATTTATACATATAGTCAAAAAAAATTATACGGTATGGACCATGTTTAGGTACTTGTCTATCTCCGTATAGTCCAGTCTGGATCCGATAGCGTCTGGAAGGGAGAATCCAGCCGCAAGAATCCAGATCATAACAGCGCTGAACACTGTCATCGGTTTTGTCTGAAATTTTTTTTTTGTTAATGCATTGTCTTAAAAGTGAATTGCGTTTTAATTAAGCAGAGGTTTCTTGTGGATTATAACGAGACACTTAATTTGGAGCCCATAATTGGTGTAATATCGCGCAAGGATTATGCAGGATTAATAAGGAATTCGGTGCTTAGAGGAAACTTTAGATGTTGATAAGAAACAAGAAGCTATGAAAGTAGGATTTTTTAATTAAAAATTTAGTAAATATATTTTACCGTTTCCAGTGGCGGCCCGTCAGGAGAGGCAGGTGAGGCAGTGCCTCATAAATTATGTATAATTTAAATATTTTACTTTCTATAATATACTATAAATTTTTAATATTTGGATTACATGAATTGTGAAATAGTCAATGAAATTGATTGATTTTATACGTGAAATACTCAGCAACATTTAAATTATTTGAATTTGAAACGACCGCAATTTAAACTAATATTTATAGCTAGATGATTGGCTCAGAAGCATGCCTGAACTAATTTAGACTCACGATTGGCGTTAGCTTTGTTGTCTCGGTCTATTACAATGCGATATCATAGTTGTCTCCTTCTCTCGTATTAGCATACGCGAGGCAGGCACGGCTGCATCCAAGGAAATAAGCAGGTGTTGTGGCAACACAATTTTAGATAAATTATACTTCACACGTTTTTCAAAATTCAATAATAAATGGTATTATTTTTCTTATAATAAATCGATTTAATCGAAATTATATTTCTATTCTAAAATAAACATATTTTAACACTATCGCCATCTTGTAGCCATCACAGTAATTAATAAAATAAATACAGATTCCTTCTTTAGGTTTGTTTGGGTTATAAAATTCTGAACTGTTTAAAGAACAAATCTGTGGTTATTTACGCAATATTTTGTTTATTCTTTTTCTATGAGTTTGTCTATTTTATGATTCTTTTGTAAGTGGTTTATTCTGTGCGTTTAGTTAATTGAACTTGGTGGTTTATGTGAATTTAGTCATTATGGATATTACGGTGAAAAATTGTACCGATATTGTTGACTTTCTTTTGAACATTCCAATTTGTCGTCTTTCTTTCGATGATAAAATGTTTGTTAAGGAATTTGGTGTCCCTCTGCCTCACCAAAATGAAATGTAACGGGCCGCCACTGACCGTTTCATCATTTATATAAATATAATATACATAACTACCTGAAGCCGTCTCAGAGGATTGACTATGGCACAGTATCTTTCAGCTGATAAAGCTGTAAGAGTGAACACTGAAACACCTATGCTTATATCCTTGGCAGTTTCAGACACTTTGCATACCACTACCCCCCAAGGCCAGTATTCCACTGTGTACAATATTGAGGTGAATGGAACGCATGTGATGATAACCAGCAAATCTGCCAGAGCCAGCGAAAATATATATCTGAAAAAAAAAAATATTTCGGTCAGAAGATAAAGGTTCAATAGACAGTTTCGTATACGAAATACCACATTGAGAAAGGGTTTTTAAATAAGTCATTTATTTGCGACGATAAGGTCATATTTGGCTTTTCAAATTGACAAAGCTTTCAGAAATAACAATTTACAGGGGGTTCAGATGACAAAGCTCCAAATTGAATTGGACTTTTGCACAAAGAAATGCCTTCCTTAAAAAAATCCTCCCCCAATGCAAATCCTTTGTTACAACTTTAAATCCAAGGATTTTATCTGAGTTGCCACAAAATTAAACTTTAAGATGTACACATTAAATATTTGTTAATTTTAACCAAATTTTTATCAGATTTTATGTTAATCCAGTTTACAACCAACTGTAATCTATTAACTTTGAATTAGTCAAAAATTTAACAGCCAATTCTTATGTAAAATTGTCCCGTTATAATCGTAACAAAACTAGAACTTTTGATAATCAGCTGTCAAACGCTTATGTTACAAACGAGTGTTTTTGAGAATAAAGCCGGAAAATGTTAAAAAATATCGAAAAAAAAAACCGTGGCTCGATTTGTTGTGTTGTTGGGTGTATTTCGAGAGGAAATCCTGGGTTGAGTTTTTACCGGTTTTCCAATCTGAATGAAGAAATAAATTGCATACAGTCTCTGTAAATATAAATTTTACCTATTAGATACAATAAATACTCATTTTAGTAGTGATTAACTTGAAAAGGGTAAACATTTCAATTCAGTAAAAATCGTCAAACAAATAAGTCGTCTAAATTTAAACAGCATTAAGCATTATTAAAAGCGTTGATTAAGAAAGTCTCCACTCAACGGTGAAATACCATTATATTATGTATTATATATAATATTATGTTGCCATGAATTCGTAGGTATATCTTGTTGTTTAAAATGCAGTGGTCGGCGTTTTTAGAGAACTCAAATATAAAAATGGTTGATTTTAAGGTTATGTTTGCGCAAAAATTATTTTTACTAATTTCTTAAAAATGTCCAAACTTAAATATAAATTATCTTAGGTAAAGTTATCATTAGTTAATTCTGCACCAACAAATGTACTTACTGAATTGGATCCTTTGGCAAAACATGAAAATGCAACGATTTAGTTCTTGAATTTTATTTACAATTAAAAACACAATAATTCACCACGATCCCTTAGATAAAATACACACACTAACGTAACTATATAAGCATTTAAGCGTTGAGTTTCTTAATCAATGATATAAGGAATAATCAATCGAAATCGAGTACTAAAAAAGTTTTTTAATTTTTTCCTTGCAACGTAAAACACAAATAACGTGCGCGATTTAGCTGTACAATTGAACAAAATTTGCCTTCCTCTCTTTTGTAAAAAAACTACCTATTTATTTAAAAATGATGCATAATCTGTGCTTTAAATGTATTGTTGACAATTCTTAAATTCACGCCAGATGGCGCGCGCGTGTCTAAAACCCTATACTTCTCTAGCATATACCATATTATTTGATTTAGGTTCATATGAAAATATTGTAGCTAAAAATGATGGATCATCATTATTTTCTCTATCAATTTTGTTAAATTTGACAGTCTCTTGTCTACCAACAATCTAACATCAAAATTTAGTCGAATCCGTCAGAAACGCCGGTTTGAATAATACAGATTGCATCGTTACCGACCATGCGTGATTCATGATTAATTGATTAATTTACATGGAAGCAATTTTAACATTTAAATCATTACCCAGACTCACACTAGCCAATTTAGATGAAATGTTGAATTATAAATTTATTACTATAATTTAATAAAATTTTGTTTTTTAAATTTCCTTCAAAACAAGGGCTATACAACATTAAAATAAAACAAATGCAACAATCAAATTTTAGTTGAAATTTATGTGGTTTTTATATGTTTTTCAGAATTTATTAGATTTGTTTACAATTTAATTAGTATTGGAGGTTTTCCAATTTTCTACAATGGAAGTTTTAAACATGCTATTTAAAAAATTCTTTAATTTAATATCAAATTAAACCATTTTGTTGTCGCAAAAACTGCTAAACACAAAATAATTATAAAAAAGTATATTGAAATAAAAAGCATAAACAAATTTTCAACAGGTACCTAGACCATATATTCTAAGTAAAATAAGAAAAAATCTAAAGGTGTCAGATCTGGAAATCTCGGAGGCTATTCTACCAATCAACTGTTCTGGAAGCCCCAACAAATACTACTTACTCTTATTAAAAATGTAATTAATACGACAATTTGACCTACTTTTCACTCGAATTTGCAACTTTTAGGTAACAGTTATTTATCGACCAATTTAGCTGATTAACAAGAAATCCGGAGAGGAAAGTTTTCGAGAAAAATAGCCCATCATTCGCACAAATTATCTGCACTTTACAATTTAATTTGTACGGTTTATCAAAGAGATGTCTTCTTTTTTACGATATAATGTCTTCAATCGATCTCCACATCCTATATTATGTCCTGTGAAATGCAGCGAATATATAAATTTTACAGGGACTATAAAACACGGTTGCATAAATAATGGCATTGGTTTGTGACCTGTGGTGAATTTTAAAATGTAAGTTTCACTACAAATTTTCGTCAGATGGCATTAATTAATTAAAAAAACAAACGCTCCAGGCAAAGGATGGAAAATCTAATTTTATTTTTCCACGCAAATTTTTCATCCTTAAAAGTTTTAATTACAAAAATATATCCAGCTTTAAGTTAAATCCATCTTGTAATGAATTTTATTTAGACAAAGAAAACGATTTTATTTCTCTTCAAATCTTGAAGAGAAATTAATTTTTTGTTTCATTAGAGCTTCACGGAGGTTAGGATTTCGTTTTTTTAAGCATCCCTTTGTATATTTGAAATAAGTTATTGTATCTTTTGACACCTTATTATTTTTTAAAAATACAATTGTACATACATAAAATGTTTAAAAAAATCTACTTACTGAGATATTACACTTCACGGTGGATAGGTTTTTAAATAGCAAATTAATGAACTTAAACTTTTGAATTATAAAACAGCAACACTCTCATCTGCATATAAATTCTAACTGACCTTCAGGAATCACATGCATCTATAATGTCGTAGACAGAGGTTTTTGCTTATTTAAAATGATTAAAGCGCCATCCGTTGCATAAAATTTAAAGCAAAAACAGATTCACGGAGGATATAATCAATTTTTGTAACACCTACATAAATGGTTATAAAAATTATTTCTTTTAATCTTTAATAATATTTTATATTTGATTCGATTGCTTTGGATGTGTTTAATTTACTTAGTGAACTGATATTTTTAGTATGCTTTTACTACCTCAGATATTTGAAAACATATAGGTTAACCTAGAAAGAGTAACAGTCACGGAGGATAGGTTTTAGACTTTTAAAACATTTCGTGAGAATAACCCTTAGTAACATTTTTTACTTACGTGTTGGGGACATTTCTCATGGCCCTGTGTCTTAGGAATATGATGACCAAAGTACCATTCCCAAGTACACCGACGACAAATATAATGAAAAACAAAACCGGAACGATGTAAGTTTCTGGCCTTTCATCGTAAGGAGTATAGCCGTTGTCAGGATCTTCCGTCGCAAGGATTGAAGACAAATTTAACTCCATTTTCTGAAAAATAAAAAAAACAGTTATTATTATTATTATTATTTTTCCGGTCAAAAAACGAAAAAATTGAGAAATTTTCAGAAAAATTTACCTTTTCATTTTTTTTCAAACAAAGTTTTTTCTAAATGACTCATTTTATTTAAATATTTTTTTGTAAACCTTTTTTCAGTCATTAGATCAGAAGCTTTTGAATAAGGCAATACATACTATTGGACCAAGAGATATTTGCTCTAAAATCAAATTGAATTTTAAATGGCAATTAGTTTTTGATAAGAGTAGCAAAAAAGTAAAAGGTTATACCTAAATTAAATCTTTAAAAATAGCAAAAAAGTTATCGAGAACATCAAAATAAAGTAAAAATAAATATGCTGTAGATTAACAAAACTGTAGTAGTAATAGTGCAAGTTGTATCAGTAAAACATAATTAAGTTTACGATGAAGTAGCTGAAATATGATGGTTATGGGCTGCCAACTTTAAGATAAATTTCGGGAAAAAATATAAAAAGAAAAGCTAATAAATCATGAGACTTTTTTTAGCTTGGAAACGATGCCGTTCTTGAATCCTAAATAAATAGGATGTAGCTTATCTCTAATAGAAAAATATTGAAGTATATTTCTTAAAATTAATGGTAAAAGTAAAATAAAAATTTTTTGATTTAGACAAAATCTTAAAAGTGACTTTTTTGATAAAAAAATACCCAAAATCATTTGGGACAAATTGTTATAAAGCTCTATCAGAATTACGTACGTTTTACGTAACTCAAGAAAACAGAAGTTGTCAAATGCAGCGTTCGGATATTTTTCCAATTAAATTTAACAGAGAAAATTGGACGGTTCAAATTTAATTTCTGCGTGACGCAATTTCGATGACTTGTGTTATGAAACACAAATCTGACTTATATCGATTTTACAATCAGTTAAAATCTGTGCTGAACCACCAGCCAAACAGAATATTTCACTATTGGTAGTGGCAAAGCGAATGTAGGAGAATCAGAAAAAAATCAAAGTCTAGAATCTTCTGGAATCGGTTGGTTATGTTTTTTAAACTTGTCAATTTTCTAAAATTTGACCATTTGCACAATATTGTCAAGAAAAGAGTTGAAATCTGTTGTTAAAAATATTTCAAAAATACGAGGTGTGTAGAAAATATCGGGAATTTTCGTTTTTTGAAACAAATATTTATTTATTCGTCTACATTAATGTTGTCACCTTCAAAATAGTCCCCATTGGATATTATGCACATGTGCAAGCTCTTCTTCCAATACCAGAAACACGATCTTTGGGATAGCCTTTAGTTCTTTCAGCGATGCCCTTTTAATGTCATCTATACTTGCAAAACGACGGCCCTTTAAGGTTCTC